AACAGAGATGACAGCGACATGTCATGGAGGTGTCTGGGAAGGATAACTGATGCATGCCACTGCCTGGGTCACTAATGGAAAGTACTGAGCTTCCCTAACAAGCAGCTCAGAAAACCCCAGTGGCCTAACCCAGCACGTAGTTCTTGATCTCTGTGAGTGGCCGTCCTGGCCAGCGGTCCTCAGCACTAACTCCTTCCCTGAGAAGCTGTGCCATCTCCTAGGACCTTCTGTTTCCTCTACTGAATCCTTTCATTAAAGCCAAAACAGAACTCCTAAGGGATTATACAGAATATTTGATATGTCACTTCTACTGACATTCTACTGGCCTAGACCTCTTCACATGGCCTCATTCTTCCTGCAAAGGAGACTGGGAAGTGTGGGCTTCCTGTGTGTCTAGAGAGAGGAAATTAGCTTAACAAGTGTCCCCTTGAACACTCCTCCATTGCTGATGGGAGTGCAAACTTGTTCAGCCTCTATGGAAATCAGTATGGCAATTTCTCAGATAATTAGGGATCAACCTACCTCAAGACCCTGCAATACCACTGTTGGGCATATACCCAAAGAAGGCACATTCACACCACAAGGACATTTACTCAACTATGTTCATAGCAACATTATTCGTAATAGCCAGATCTTGGAAACACCTAGATGCCCCTCAACTGAAGAATGGATAAAGAAAATGTGATACGTTTACACAGTGGAGTACTATTCAGTGGTAAGAAACAATGGCATCCTAAAATTCGCAGGCAAATGGACAGAACAAAAACAAACAAAAAACACATGCTGAGTTAGGTAACCCAGAACCAGAAAGGCAAATACAGTATTTACTCATAAGTGGATACCAGACATAAAGCCAAAGATACCCAGCCTACAAACCACAACCCCAGAGAAGCTAGAACTCTCTTCCAGAAACATGCAGAAATGCACAACTAACCTTTGGGCAAAGCTCCTGGAGTATAATCAAAGTGAGGGAGGAGTGATATTATGAACTAAGAAGTTAAGACCATGATGGGGAAACCCACAGAAACAGCTGACTTGAGCTAGTGAGAGATCACTGACTCAGATCTGACAAATGGGGAACCTGCATAAGAGTGAACTAGACTCCCTTAATGTAGGTGACAATGGTGTGACTGGGACAATGTATGAGGCCACTGTCAGTAGGTCCAAGAGCTAACTCTAATGCACAACTGACTTACTGGAGCCCATTCTGTTATGAAGAGATACCTTTCCTAGCCTAGACACAGGAGTGTGGGGGGTGGAGAAGTGCCTTGGTCCTGCCTCAAAAAGATTATGGGACAGACCTAGTAGACATCCTAGGGGAGGCCTTATCCCCTCTGAGGAGGAGAAGGGAGGTTGGGGGAAGTGGGAGGAGAGGAGGGAGGAGGAACTGGGATTGGAATGTAAAATATAAAATACGAAAAAAAATAATAAAAAGGGTCCTCAATCTCTGCCACAGCCAGGTCATGGGAAACACAGGAAGGTGCAAACTTTATATTATAGTTGTCTATTATATTACGATTGTCTATTATATTATGTCTCTTCCTAGTCTTAAGGTTAATAATGTTTGCTCTGTACCTTTGAGTTTGCATTTTTATGTAATTGTATGATGAACAGTCGGAAGCACAGCCTGCCACTTTACTCTTTTAAGATTACCAGGATATAGTCATTTGCTCAATGGATATTTTCCAAGCACCATGCTGGCTGTAGGTAAATTCTGCTCTCTGACCATGCCTGCTGGTGGTAAGATAGATGCCAAATAACCCATGAAGTAGTATGGCTGTGTGACATGAATGCTCTGTGTGTGGGGCCTGAAGGGCTCAGGTGGGGCTCTGTGAAGAAGTAGTCCTTGAGCGGAGACCTAAGATGAGGTGACTCAGCCTTAGACTCTCAGGAAGAAGCGTTGGCCAAGAGGCGGGCCTTGAGGTGGGAGCCATCTTTGGAGTGTTCCTCCAACAGTGAAGTGAGGGCCAAACTACGCCGGAAGACACATGAGATGGTCACGGGCTGTATCATGCAGGGCCTTGACCTCTCTACCTCAGTTTCCATCAGCCTGGGCTAATACTAGCATCAGCTTCATGGAGTAGCTGGGATGGTTGTATGAAGTAGCATGTACTGTGTTTAGAAATGTACCTGACACCTGGAGTTCACGTTTGTTATGACTCCAGAGGCAGTGAGAAAGTTTGGGATGATTTCCAGCAGGGCAGTGTGACTAGGTCTCTGTAGACTCCAGCATATGGGTTTTCTTACGTCTAGATGTGAAAGGAGTTTAAATTTTTTGGTGAAACTCCCAGGGACAAAAGGAAATGTTCACAATATTATGTGTTGTTTCCATTAAAATTGTTTTATTTTCTAAACATGGGCAAGAATGACCTTAAAAATAGTATTGAGATATACACAGGCAATATACGAGCAAGATCTTGAAAGCTTCTGATCTACTCCTATCTTGAAAAATAACCAAATATTTATGCATACTTTTAATGTGAAATTTCCTGGTGTACATATGGGGTACATAACAGTGGGCCACCTTTCTTCTCGGGCTTAATGTGACTGAAGCTGGTCTGAGTGTCAGAGCATGAATTGTCATGTCTGTCTGTAGGAAAGAGAAATCCTAGAAGCTGGAAATGATAACCTAAAAAAAACCAAAACCAGACATGCTGGTGGAAGGGAGCTGCAGACCCAGGAGCAGAGTCTTCTACAGACGTGCTCTCCACAGCAAAGCTGCCTGTGGAATTGCATTTGCTCATCCTTCCCTGAAAACGCAAACTGCCAACTTAGAATTCACTTCCCCTGTTTGTTGGCAGAAGCCCCGGTATCAAGTGACTTGGCAAGTGTGCCTGTGACAATAAGGACATCCCAGGGGCTGTGGGTGAACTGAGGTCATCGTCACAACCATTGGCCTTGGTCCATACGGGGCTCAGCTGTTGACTGGAAAAAGCATGTGGGGTTGTTTCTCCTCCAGGAAGATAATGAATCCCCTAGCCAATATCATCTCACAAAACAACAGCATCATCTAATTGCCACCAAAATAAATAATTGTCAAGTGCCTACATCATATGTGAGCATTTGGAGAAGATTTAGAATAAAATGTTTCTATCCAGCAATGCTTTGCTTTTGTGAGAATCCTTAAACATTACACTGCATTTTCTCTTAGGTTCCTAGATCATATCTCTGGAGCATCTGGTACTTGTACAATTAGTACAAATATTTAGCAATTAGAATGCAGCCAGGGAGTGCTGGGATATGAGACTTAGTTGGTAGAATACTTGCCTGGTGAGCATAAGGCCCTGAGTTCAATTCCTAGCACATAATAAATAAAGCACAGCCTGTAGTTCGGGCATGTGGGAAGCGGAGGCAGGGGGATCAGAGTTTCACATCCTGTATAGTTACATAGCAAGTTCCAGGCCAGGCCTGGACTTCCTGAGATGCTGTCTCAAAGCGGGGAGAAAAATGCTCTCTTGGGGTTTTTCCACTACAGTTTCCACTGTGGGTTGTTTATGAGTTTGACAGAAAAACTAAATGACACTGAAAATACATTATTTTGCTGTATCACACTGGGAAGTGTGGGCTTCCTGTGTGTCTAGAGAGAGGAAATTAGCTTAACAAGTGTCCCCTTGAACACTCCTCCATTGCTGATGGGAGTGCAAACTTGTTCAGCCTCTATGGAAATCAGTATGGCAATTTCTCAGACAAACAAAACGTGCCCTGGGAAAACAAGATTCATGTTAGTGTTTCTCTGGTCTTCAATTCTGAGGCCCTCCATTAAGACGGGTGTGGAGCCAATCAGCTTGAACTTACAGGCATGCACTTCCAACACTGACCTTTATCATGGGAACATCTTTACAGAAGAAAAGCCTGAGCGTGAACTCATGTGGCTAAAAGAATAAAGCCTGTGATCTGAACTGTAGAGCGGAGCAGCTTGAATGAAGAAAGTAGAAGACACATGACTGAGACTGATAGCCAGCGATCCCACCAAATGCTTTTGTAGATATTTTCTCCTTCTTCCTCACAGGACAAAGGAGGAAGCATCGTAAGAATTGCATGGGCAAACTAGAGTGAAGAAAGTATGGCGAGGGAAAGATTACCTTTTTAATTGTTGTGCGTAGTAATTCAGGGTCACCTGACAAACACACTTTCCACCCAGGGAAGACAAATAAAAAATGTTTTAGAACATAGTGATTTTTTTTAGAAGAGATGAATCAACAAGTCTCCAATTAACATAATATAGATTTTCTTGGCCTCAACTGAACTATGTGAAAATTAACTGTACAATTGCCAAATAAGTCCTTAACTTTAAAAGTCACAGAAGCGGTCTATATAGTGAGGTTATCTTTTGTTTCATTTGAAAAAAAAAAAGGCTTTTTCCCTTCTCTCTTTCCCACTGCTCCCCTGGGGCAGACAGGACTTTTCCTGTCTCCCTCTTCTCTTCTGTCCTCGGTCTCTCTGTCTCTTTACCTCTTTTCTCTTTCCTTACCTCCCCCCTTTCTAATAAAACTTCTCACTTAAGCTCTGTCTGCCTGGCATGTTTGTCCCTTCCGGGGGAAAAAAATGTTTCCAAATGTTTCATTGTCAAGCAACATGTCTAGGTAACTCGGTATTTTAGAATATGTAAATGCTTTATAGACAATGATATCAGTTAACGAGATCAGTCTAGTATTCTGTGGCTTTGTTGAGATAATTCTTTTACAGAATAGGGTCGTATTGTGCCTTACAGAACCATTGAGCTTGCGAAGGACAGTAAGGACTTACGTTCTTATTCTAAAGCAGTGTGCTGGAAATTGTCCTGCTTAGTTTAGCCCCGAGAAGAAAATCACCTTGAGTCATTTACTTATTTGTTTATGAGTGTGCATTGCTGGGATCGAACCCAGTACTTCACACATGCCAGGCAAAGACTGCACTGAGGCCCCTCCGGCCTGGCACACTGCACACTGCTGCCTTCAGTGCTGACAGGCCACAGATGTTGGTTCTTTGACCGTTTTTCATCTGCCTTTTTTTCTTGACAGGTCCCTGAGGGCAAAGTGGTCGTTCTGAATTTCCGATTCATAGACCTTGAGAGCGACAACCTGTGTCGTTATGACTTCGTGGATGTGTACAACGGCCACGCCAATGGCCAGCGCATCGGGCGCTTCTGTGGCACATTCCGACCTGGATCCCTCGTAGCCAGCGGCAACAAGATGATGGTACAAATGATTTCCGATGCTAACACTGCTGGGAGTGGCTTCATGGCCACATTCTCTGCTGCTGCACCAGATGGAAAAGGTACCCATTTTCACACAGGGGTGGTGACAACAGTGATGAATGTCATGAGGATTCATTACTTACCGTGTGCCAGGCTCTGTTCAAAGTGTAATAGCAGTTCTCAAAGAGCCAAGGAGGGCCAGCAAGTCACCAAAAGATCCTTCTAAAAAGTCTGTCCATCTTAGAAAGTTCATATGCAGTCTTGTAAAAAGTCAAATATAGAAATTCATGGGGCTAAATGAGAAGCTTGAAGGTATCTTCACAGATGTGCAAGCCACTACTTGGCCACATCCTCCAGAAAGGCATGGCCAATGGCTTCTGTATTTTTCTCTCAGTGTTAACTTACATTCATGTACCTTTACAACTCTTTAAAAACCTAAGTGAAATCACATATTATTTCATAACTTTCTCGTTTTACTTAACGCCATGTTGGGATATTTCCGTGTCAGTTTTAGGAGCACTCCAGGAAAGCACTTTGAAAGGTGATTGCAGCAGGCAGGATTTCTGAATCCCCAGCCCTCTGCCCGAGGATACCTGCTCATCTGCCCTGGGTTTGAGTCATAGTACCACATGACTACACTGAGAGGTCAGAAAACAGATTGAGGGCAGGCAGTGCAACCCGAGCGCTGAGGGAGAAATCCTAGCAGGCTGCCACAAAAGCACAGAGTTCAAAATATACAGGAAAGTTACCCACATCTTTGACATCAAAACTGCAATTTCACAGTGGGTGATTGGAGGGAGCGGGGCTGGAGAGATGGCTTAGAGATTAAGAGCACTGACTGTTCTCCCAGAGGTCCTGGGGTCAACTCCCAGCAACCATATAGCAGCTCATAGCTGTCTGTGACTCCAGTTCCAGGGGTCCAGACACCCATAGCAAAATACCAATGCACATAAAATAAAAATAAATGAAACTGAATTTAAAAAACACTACAATTTTGGGACAAAGGCCCAAACACAGATTAGAGTCTCTGGCTACTGCCAGGGAGACAGACTGTTTAAGTGTAGCTAAATTTCTAGTAGGAGAAAAATCATTTTTATAGGACTATAACAGACTCTAGAGTATAATGTAGCCCATTCATGTTGCATATCCGTAGTGAAGAAAAAGGCAGTCAGTAGAAAAACTCATTATAAATTAGAGGTTGCCATTAGCAGATGAATGCTTCATTTTTCCATTTGGCTATTTATTATAATTATGCATTGGTGATTGCTCTGTAGAGAAATAAACCAACATGAGACAAGTGGAAGTATAAGGAATAGACAGACAGACAGACAGACTGACAGACAGGTTTGAGGAATGGCTCACTACAAATACTTTAAACAGCTATTGTGAATTTGTTTCCTGAGGCAGGCAGATTTCAAGTTGAAGGCTAGCCAGGGCTACAGAACAGATCCTTTATTGTGGGGGAGGGGAGCTGGAGGTGTGGCCTGGAGGTAGAATGCTTTCTTAACCTGTGGGAAGCCCTGGGTTCCGTTTCCAGTACTGAGGGAGGGAGAAAGGTTTCGGGACTTAAAGGAATGTGTGTAGGATAAATAAAAAGAAGCAACAGAAACTAAAAAAAAAAAAAAAAAAAAAAAAAGAAGAAGAACAAGATAATGATTTTAGAGTTAGAAAATACAGAGTTTGATGTCTTATAATTTACCCAAGAAGTAGCCTGGAAGTTAAAGAAACCGTTCCCCACAAATAGAAATTACCAGTCTGAAATACAAGCACAGAAAAGAATGAAGGGGAGACCAAAAGACCAGAGAGATAGAGAGATAGCATTAAATTGTCCATGTATAACTGAGTTTTATCTCTAAAACAATGATAATAGTACTGAAGTTTCTACACCCCGACAAGCCTCTCCGCCTATGCAGCAATCCAAATCAGATCAAATCAAACTGAATTAGAAACAGCCCAGGTTTAATGGATACAACGCTCTCAGATGGCTTTCCAGCCCCCCAGAGAGGAAATGGGGAAAGAGAGACTGGAAAACCAGGAGTCTATTTTCTGGGGGACAGTTTACATTCCCTGTGGGAGGGGTCTTGGGCTTCTCTGGGGGAGGGGCCATCATTTGGCAGGCTTTCTGAGATGCAGCAGGGTTTGGAGGGAGACGGGGGAGGGGGCTTGGGTGGAACTTCCAACATAGTATCTCAGACTCTGGGTATATGGATGTCAGGGGTGGGGTGAAGCTTTCACCGTAACAAATACAGAAACAAAAATGTAAAGAAAAATGACTTAACTGCATAGAGGTTTAACAAAGTACTTGAAATTGATGCAGCCAAGAAGAAAACAAACTCTAAATAGATTAAAAGGAATATAAAAATAAAAAACCTTAGTCTATTATAATTGAATTACAGAACTAAGAGATAAAATTCCTAAAGCCAAGCAGATAAGAAGAACTAAGAGATGAGCTTGGCCTTCTGTTGTGAGCCGCAGAGGAAGCAGAGGACAGTGTCATGGCGCCCTTCACGTGCTGGGATGAAGATGCTTAGCATCTTCTACACCCAGCTTTCCAACATGAAAGTGAGGGAAAAGCACCTACAAGTGCTGTGGATATCTCAGAGACGTTTTTCTATCTGTGCCACAGGAAATGCTGATGGCAGCACCTCGTGTCAAGGGAAACGATAGCAGGGCCTGACCTGAAAGCAGTGAAGAATGCCCACAGGGAATGGCTAGCATCGAGGAGGGCATTTTATGTTTGTCTTTTGATTTCTTTTCACAGTGTCATGACTAAAACATGAGCTTTGCATTATGCAAGATATAATGTCTTATATTTGACAACAAAGGATGCTTAAATACAACCACAGACACACACACACACGCACATGCACGTCACACATGAAAATGTTCAGAATGATCTCTGTATAGGCTGTGATGAGTTACATGTGTAGAGCATCCATTAAAACCTGAAGATCTATGACTAACAGACACAGATTTAAATAGAATACCAACATTACCCACTTCAAGAAAGCTTGAAGGAAGAGGACATGTAATAAGAGGTGAGAACAAATTGAAAAAAAAAATAGCAACAGGCACACTAAACCCCCGACATCCATAAATACACTAGATATAAGGGATTAAACACCCAAATAGAATAAGGTTATTGTTAGGATTGATTAAAAGCAAGTCCCAGGCACATGTTGTCTATCAAAAACCACTTGAAATACAAAGACCAAATAGACATTTACCATGTGAACTTCATTAAAATTAAAACTGGTACATATCAAATTACGCCATTACAGATATGAACAGGCAATCCACACCAGTAGAGGAAATATCCACAAAGGGTTAGTTAGTACTCAGAATACATAAAAATAACACCCAACAATAGCAGAATCTCGGTAAATACAAACTGAGTGAAAAATTTGTACAAGCAGCCAGGCGGTGGTGGTGCAAGCCTTTAGTCCCAGCATGCAGGAGGCAGAGGCAGTCAGACCTCTGTGAGTTCGAGACCAGCCTGGTCTACAAGAGCTAGTTCCAGGACAGGTTCCAAAGCCACAGAGAAACCCTGTCTCAAAGAAAAAAAATTGTACAAGCATTTCACAGAGGGTGCTATGAATGGCCAGTATCATTAACCATCAGAAAAATACAAATGAAGACAGTGAGGGGCTAAGAGATGCCTCAGTGATTCAAAGCACTGGCTGGTCTTCCAGAGGACTAGGATCTGTAACTGTAGTCCCAGGAGATCTAATGCTTTCCTCTGGCCTCGGTGAGCACTGCCTACGCATGGTGCATGGATAATACGTTCAGGCAAACACTGAGTATACACATAAAATGAAAATAAAAAAAATCACAGTGAGATGCCACTACCTCCCCATTATGTTGGCTAAAATTCTGATAGCATTGTGTGGTACCAAGAATGAGAAGTAGACAATTATCTCACTCTTTGAGTGGTACAAAATGATAGCAACCTCTTTGGTGCTGGGAGAAGTTTTGGTGGTGTTGATTGTTTCATGAAGTTAAATACCTGTATCTATTCTGACCTAGCAATGCATTAGAGGTATTAATGTAAGAAAAATGACAATACACATCAACAAAAAAGATGCGCACAAAAATAATCATAGTAGCCTCACTAGCAAAAGCCTAAACTGAACTCTACTATATAAGTGTTGCTAGATGCTATATAGTGGTTTTATATATATATATATATATATATATATATATATAGAGAGAGAGAGAGAGAGAGAGAGAGAGAGAGAGAGAATACTAGATACTAGTAATGAAAAGCTAATTTGTAATTTGTCCATAGGGCTGTAAGAAAAAAACCAATGAACCAATGCCTTGAGGATTCTTAGAACCTGGTTCATTGCACTGTCTACAATTCTGAATGAGTGGGAATGTTTTGTTCCAAAGGAGGGGGAAAATTAACAACAGAAAAGCCGTGGTTCTGACACCACTCGTTCCCTCTTGTGTGACATGTCAGGCAGTGACAAAGTGCTTGGTGAACTGGTTGGGGGGATTACATGTCTGTAACCACAGCACTAGGAGGTGGAGGCAGGAGGACCAAAGCCAGCCTCAGCCACATAGTGCATTGACTGCTAGCCTGTGCTACGTAAGACCATCTCAGAAACAAACAAATCAGATGTGTAGAGTAGATTGTGTGGTCATTATATATAAAAAAAAACTGAACAGCCTCTCCCTTTGCCTTGATGTGCATGTTCTCATCCCTAACCTCCAGGTGATTGTGCAACTATGACCTATGTTGGGGTATAAACTTGTAATTTTTTTTCATATTTAATGACTTTAGGAGACAGGTATTGTGGAGGACGCCTTGAAAAACCTTCCGGCTCTTTTAAAACCCCCAACTGGCCAGACCGAGATTACCCCGTAGGAGTCACATGTGTGTGGCACATCGTAGCCCCGAAGAACCAGGTGAGGCTCCAGAAAATGTGACAAAAGTGAGTATGTGCGAATTGCCCACGGTGTAAGCCTCTGCTTCTGGGGCTGGAGAGTTCAAGATGCAAGTGAGGAAAACCCAGGTGGACACCAGTACTTATTCTTACCAAGACCCAGGTTACAGTTGCCCTCGGCACTCTTTGACTTGCAAAGTCATGGATTTGATTTTCTATTATTTAATCGTAACTATCAAAACAGTTTTGAAAATACAAATTGTAAACAAATTCCAGCTGGGACTGCGTAGGGCAGGGACAGATGTAAAGGGCATGAGGCCGCAAGCGTTGGTACCCAGCAGTGTGGGGAGGAAGGTCCTCAGAGCACGCATACGCCAGCATCTCCTTTGCTCACTTAGGCATGGCTCCAGCACAGCCAGCCAGCAGCCCCAGAACCTTCAAGGAGCCCCTAACTCTGGGGATAAAGGGTCGGCTTTTGAGTGTTGGGGTTGTTTGAAACAAAATGTGTGCGAGCTGCTTATCTGTTCAGTGGCTCTCACCCTTCCTAGTGCTGTGGTCCCTTTAATACAGTTCCTCATGCTGTGGTGACCCCCCCCAAACATAAAATTATTTTGTTGTTATTTCATAACTGTAATTTTGCGATTGTTAAGAATCGTAATGTAACATCTGATATGTAGGATATCTGATATGTGACCCCAAAAGGGTCGTGACCCACAGTTGAGAACCACTGCTCTAAAACAATTAGCTGAAATCCAGTTTGCCAGTGTTTATTACTATGTGATTATATGAATTCTTGACCTTTTCTGGAAACCACCACATATCAATTGTAGGACAGAATTTGATGCAGGAGTAGATGGATCTTGCTGTAGGAAAATTTAAAAATCAATTGGTAAACACTACTGACTTTAGTCTAAACAATCTCCAGTGAGCATCACAATACTGCTTCTTAAATTATTTTATTGATCTATTATTTTTATTTTCTGTGTGTATTTTGCCCACATGTATGTCTGTGTACCATGTGTATGCCTGGTACCTGTGGAGGCCGGAAAAGGGAACCTAATTCCCTGGAACTGGACTTAACAGATGATTATAAACAGCTATGTGGGTGCTGAGACTTGAACCCTGGTCCTTTGGAAGAGCAGCCATTGAGCCATCTCTAAAGCCCAAGATACTTGCCACATATTTGTTTTTAACGTCAGTTACGATCCAGGAAAATATACCATGCAAGTCACTGAGGTGAATGCATATACATAAAAATGCAGCCATCCACACTGACCGCATCTTAAGACTCAGTCCTCATTTAAAGACTAGAAATGTAGCCTTTTATTTAATAATGAAAGACCACATGTCTGTTGAAGGGATTACAGTTTATAGTAATAGTTAAAAGTACATTTTTGAAATACTTAAAACTGTTATGTAATTCTTGAAATTGTGTTGATAATTTCTCTGTGACACTGTTTACAGCTGACCAAATAAGGTCAATGTCATTAGCTTCCAATTACAGCCCCACGTCTTCTCTCCTGGTTCCCCCCCTCCCCCGTTATTGGGAGGTTCCGGCTTCTTTTGTTTCACTCAGTTGAATTTTTCATCAGCAATGGGGTATTCGGAACCCTCGGGCTGTTCTGTCCAAAGAGGAAAGACAGCCCAAAAACCAAATCCTGAGGAATTTCTGTGCAAGGCCATGGAATGTTCTTCAAAAGCGCTGCATCTGGGTTCTGTCCCAGCCTTCCCCTTTCTCCCTTTAGTTCTTTTAATCTCCTCTCCAAAAGCTTTTTAATTTTTAGGGCAAGAAAGTTCAGCCAATTTTTAAATGGAAAATATTTTATTAGTTGTTGGTGAAAAGTCAGTGGCTTCCCAAAGGAGGTTTTAAAAATTGTTGAAAGCAGTTTTTAGCATGAGTAAGATGGTACTTCCCCATCACAGGCACGGGCTTTTTAAAGGCAGGTAAATATCTAGATGGATGGCCTTATGATCCAATCAAAACTGACCTCTGTGTCCAGCTGCAATGCCAATGCTTTTGCCACCTTTGCTCAGATTAATGTGCAAGCGTCTTCTTGAGCTGGGAATTAATGCCCTTCTTCTAGTGGGAATTAATTTCCATAACATCCCTGAATTAGCAGAGTCCCTGGCTACCGATTGCCAAGCAAGTCTGGATAGCAGCTGAGTGCCACAGGTGTCAATGACCCAGGAAGACTTTTTTAGATTCACATATTGAAAATGTTCCTAACAAAACTGCTTGTTTGGGGGACAGAGGGACAATGACGGCTTATGAAATTAAAATGTGCTGTTCGTGTGAATGATTTAGGAGACTATTCTTAGTAGTAGAGCTAAAACAAAAAGAAAGAGAGGGGGGAGAGGGAGGGGGAGAGAGGAGGAGGGAGAAAGGAAGGAAGGGAGAGAGAGACAGAGAGACAGAGAGACAGAGAGAGAGAGAGAGAAGGAAGCCTTTGATACTGACTCTGTGTATCAGGGCTTCTGTGCAACCTCTTTGGAAACCAACCACACCCCACGTGACATGCTTGGAGTGTGTACACTGTGCAGGCATCACTCTTTAACAACTCTAGCCAGTTCCCATGTCCCTGAACCTTTCATCCCCAAATTGACTCCTTTACAAGTGATTAGGATTTTTGTCTACTCTCAAAAGGAGAAACCTACACATCTCATGACCATACACACCATGCTCACATATCACACCCAGATATAATGCAATGTGGGGAGCATCTTAGATAATTCTTTGGATTTCTGTTCATTTTTTTTTCCAGAGAAGAATGGATTTGGTATACAGGTTCCTTTATCACCCCAACACACATCCAGTCATCCAGATAGAACCAACCTTTTGATTCTCTTATTCTTTCTAGCTTTATTAAGGTAGAACTGACAAATAAAAATTGTATATACCTACAGTATAGAGGGTGACACTTTGATGATGCATATATTGGGAAATATTGCAGTTAAACTGACTAGCATATCCTTCACCTGGCATAGTTACACTTGTGGTTGTACACACTGACAACATGTAAAATCTATGCTCTTAGCAATTCTCAAATGTATATTATTATTATTTATAGTTGACAATAGATTTGCAGCACCAATTACAAGGGGATTTCCACTCAAGGTCATTCAGGTTTTTGACATTTCCACGGTGTGCTTTTCCTGAAGCTTATAGAGTTAAAGTTTGAGAAGTTTGATGTTGAGCGTGATAACTACTGCCGATACGACTATGTGGCTGTGTTTAACGGCGGGGAAGTCAACGACGCTAAAAGAATTGGAAAGTACTGTGGTGACAGTCCACCTGTGTAAGTAGTGCCTGTTTGTGTCACTAATATTTTAATGACTCTAAACCTACATCCTACTAATTCCCTAATTCCCTTTATATCCTGGGAAACGTTATGTTGTCGTTTGTTGACAAAGCTTGTGTCCCATAACTGTGGAGCCCTGTCCACCAGCAACAGCAAAGAGAAGCCACTGAAACAAGAGGTCAAGCAGTCATGAGGACAAATAGAGGCAGGGCTGATGGTGCCTCAGGGGCAGACACTCCACCTGTGTCACAGACCTGCTGAGGGGAGCTCAAGCATTGGAAAACATGGGAACTTCTGAGAAAAAAGGAAAAAGCCTGGGCTTTATTTCCCTAGGAAAATCTGTGTAACATTGAAACCACTGTTCCTCAAGTGTTTATCAGAACTCTGGAGAAAAACCATATTGACTGGTATTGGGGGCTACACTGGATTGGTAACTGCTCATCAGCCCTGATGATGGGATATGGACATTTTGTCCATTACCTAGCCAGGGTCATGCTGCACAAGGCCAGCTACAGACTGGAGAGGGTCTGGTGTGTGCAGGGGGAGTAGTCTGGGAAGGGGCGCTTGACATGCCCCATTCCCACTCCTGTGTGTATGTGATTAAATGTCCCGGACACTGGGATGTGAAATGCTTTGTTTGCTGTCCCAGAATGCCCCTCATGGAAGGGGAACTTGAGCTATTCTGAGCTTCCCGTAATTCTGCTGTCTGATGCTTGTGCCTTTTTTTTTTTTTTCTGCTTCCCCATTTGAAGGGTATATAAGGAACTGTGATCCTAATAAACCCGCTGGCTTGGGTCATCAGCCCTGCAGCTCTTCTGACCCCAGCCTTAACTCTTTCCTTTATTCCTTTTTGTCCCCAGTGCTCCCCCTCAAGACCATCCAGAACCCCAATACAGCTGTCTGGGTCAGACTTCTTTTTCCGACTCAAAGGAAAAACAAAATTTACTGCTCAAATATCTAGAGTGATTTCTGTAGCTTTTTCTTCTCCCTGCATCCATTTTGAATGAAAAGAATATGTTTTCTCTATGTTGCTAGACACACTGTCTCTGTCAGTAGCCCAAGAATGCTAACTTGGGTAGCAATGGGAGAAGCAGGACCTCAAGCAGATCTCCATCAGATAAAACATCTGGATTTGTCATAAGCTTTCAGCTTCTTGGCCTATCTTTGGGTGAGATCTCATCTCCCCTACCTAGTTATTCATAACCTCAGCTTGTAAATGCAGCCCTTGGTCCTCAGGGCACTGTGATCCTGTTATGTTGCCACAAAGCACCACAACAGAAATCTACTTTTGTTACTAAAATACTCTTCCTTGAAAAATGAAATCAACTTCTGATATAGTGTCTCCCAGTTAGTTCAAAGAAAAGTCAGGGTGTGGTCACCAGAATGACATTTGCCTATGTAAGCCATCCTGACTGGATTTCCATTGCGCCTATTGGGAGTGCTTGCTGCAATCTATCATTTAAACAAGACTAGCATATTTTGTTTGTAATTGTAGGTGAGAATAGTATACAGGGTAGTTTTAGAAATTTTTTTCATGAAGCCGGGCAGTGGTGGTGCACACCTTTAATCCCAGCACTCGGGAGGCAGAGGCAGGCAGATCTCTGTGAATTTGAGGCCAGCCTCGTCTACAAGAGCTAGTTCCAGGACAGCCTCCAAAGCCACAGAGAAACCCTGTCTCGAAAAACAAACAAAAATTGATTTCATGTTTTTCTTTTTTCTTTTTTTCTTTTTGTTTTTGTTGTTTGTTTTTTTTTGAAACAAGGTTTCTCTGGGTAGCCCTGGCTGTCCTAGAACTTGTTCTGTAGACCAGGCTGGCCTCAAATTCACAGAGATTCGCCTGCCTCTGCCTCCCGAGTGCGGGGATTAAAGGTGTGCACCACCACCACCTGGCTTAGTTCATGTTTTTCATAAGCATGTTGAAATATCTTTGTAAAATCTTGAATCTCTGAAGCATTGTTTACATGGTCCTAGCTTTGGGGATGGGACATACAGGGCAGGTTATGAGCCTCCTGCCTCTGTTGCTCCCACAGTCACTAAGATCAAGTATGGGAATCTGCCAATTCACAGCAGGTGGTACCCAAATGACCTGCTCATTATGGGCTGTCAGGCCCATAGACTAGAGGGATGCCCCAGAAAAAGACTTCCATCAAATCACTGTCTGGTTCAATCACAAAATTAGTTTAATCTTTTTCTACTTATGAATTAGTTTTTAAATAAGATTAGCCAAGCAGCACTGTCATCGATGATAAGGAAATAATAGCGACTGAAACGAGACTGACACTTCAGACAATCATCCCCCAAGATGCAGAGGGACTTCAAGGCTCTAACCCTGAAGTTCCAACCACCCAACCAGTCCCTACTGCTGGAGCTCTTCAGGGTGTCATGGTTACCAATCAGTAGTCACCTGCCTTCTTTCCTTACCGACATCTCCCTGATAGGGATTATAAAGAGAGATGCCGCCATGGCAGGCAGGCACTAGCCTCCCTTTAAAAATGAAATGTGGTCTCTTTGAGCCCTCCACATCATCAGCTCTGTCCCTCGGCTTCTGCCTCACCAGCAGTTGGTGTGAACCCCAGACGTAGTTCAGACTCACAAGTCAGGCGAAGCCTTGGGGCCTTGTGGGAAACAGCCATAACATCATTGCTCACACTGGTCCCAACATCTTCCACTGTTTCTACAGTCACTGGACTCCTAGGTTCAAATCCTGGTTCCCACATGCTGACTGCAGGACCTTGGGAAGATCACTGAATTCTGGGTTCAGTTGCCCATTCTACAGAAAGAGGATGATGACAGGATCCTTGGGAAGCGGGCTGTTAGGACTTTCATTTTTTCAAGTGTTTTGCATTTTAGGGTTACAGAGTTGTTAATCTATTGTCAAAAATGAATTGAAAGCTAGAAGTTTTAACCAGGCATGGTGATGTAAGCCTTTGCACTTGGGAGACAGAGACAGATGGATCTCTGAGTTCGAGGCCAGTCTGGTCTACAAAACAAGTTCCAGGATAGCCAGGACTATACAGAGAAACCCTGTCTCAAAAAAAACAAAACCACTAAAAAGAAAGAAAGAGAGAGAAAGAAAGAAAGAAAGAAAGAAAGAAAGAAAGAAAGAAAGAAAGGAAGGAAGGAAGGAAGGAAGGAAGGCTAGAAGATTTGACATGTTCAGAGAGGTACCACATAAACTGTAAATGTGTTTCTCTCTTAGGCCGATCGTGTCTGAGAGAAATGAACTTCTCATTCAGTTTTTATCAGACTTAAGTTTAACAGCAGATGGATTCATTGGTCACTACAAATTCAGGCCCAAAAAAATTCCCACAACTACAGCTATGCCTGTTACCACCACGCTCCCTGTAACCACAGGTAAGCTCTGCTGTGTGCAAGTACGAATCCCTTTGAAGTAGAAATTCTTATTTTAAGGCAAAATAAGAAGGTGCTGGAAATGGAAATAACTTTGTGTGAGATGATAATGAGATTTCATGGATAAAACAAAAACAGGTAAGAATGCTTCCCAGCTAGTGGTTTGCGTTAGCCATGGGGAAAAAACAATGGCCACCTAAGAACTACATACACAACGATAATTATAATATAAAAACTATCTTTATAAACCCACTGTTCCTTCACTAGTACATGGCAAAGTTCTTCCTTTCATTGTTTTTTTTAATTGACAATAATTGGCACGTATTTGTGGTATATACAATTTGATCCATATATATAGCATACAATGGTCAAACTGGGGTAACTACCATTTCTGTCTCCATAAATGTTTGAGCTCATCTCTCTAGTTCTTAGAATATGTAGTACAGGGCTGGGAGGTTCAGCTTGAAAGGTGCTGGCTGTCCAAGGGTGGAGCCTGAGTTTGCTCCTGGGACCCACACACCAGTGAAAGGGGAGAACTGATTCCCGCAGAGTTGACCTCTGCATACACACCTCCCCATTTTTTGAAACTTACTATTTTGACTGTATATAATAACAATGAATTATGTAGTCACACTACAGTGCTGTTGAATTTCAGAACATCCCTCCTGTTTAACTGTAGTTTGATGACTGTAGTCCTGGGTCACATTTTCTTTTGTCTCCCTTCTATCTTCTTAATAGTTTTCATTTTATTACATACAATTCTATTTTAGGTTAATGCTCCAGGGCCTGATACCTGCCAGGTCTTAACAACAACCAGTTTTAAGATTTTGTTTTGTTTTCCCATCTCAGAAGATGCCAAATAAAATATATATTTATACACATGTGCATATGCACGTACATATGTACACATATGTACATACATGTGTGTATGTATATAAATATTCAAATGGAGTAAATCAAACAAAAATGTTCACTAGTTACAGAAGCTGCCTACAGTGACCCATTGTGATCTAAGAAGTGATGAAGGCATTGGGGCCTGGTCTCTGGTCTCTGTGGCCTACCTGCTCCACCCTGTGGGAATTCAGGAACTCAGACTAGAGACCTCAAGTTAGGGCATGGATTAAACTGGCAGTTAATGGCATAGGCTTTTTGCCCTTCTCTGATAGGGTTGTCTAGAGCACAGGCATGCCCTGGAAGCTAAATAAAGCTTGTTACTAAATGAGTGGTTTGCAAGTTAATAGCTTATGTGAGGTTAGGATTTTACAGCTTTATCCCTGTTAAATCTGACCTTTAAAAACTTGAGTCGAAGGTTTAACTGAAGATCCTTTAGCATCAAAATAAACTATAAATGCAGGAAACATTACCATTATAGAGACTATGACAGTTTTTATATGACTTAGTTTATCTGAAAGCTTAACAAAATAAACAAAGATAAAGCATCTAGACAGACACTGCTTTCTCTGAACGGTCCACAAATCGGCCACCTTGTGGTCTGGCTGTGCACTGCCTCGTGTTACTGTCACGTGTCCCCAGCCCAGCACAGTGGGCAGACCCGTGGTGCTAGTGGCTTTCTGACTTTTAGCTCCAATTTGAGCTTTCTCTAAAACTGCAAATGGGCTTTGCGGTGAGTTTCCCGACACTTCATGACATGTAATGTATTATGCTCAGCTTGCTTTGACCACACCCTCTGCCTCAAGCCTGTTTCCTGCTTGTTTGCCCAAGCACATGCCCACCATCAATGGACATTCTCAGTCACCTTTGCCTTCCTTTTGTTTTTTTGTTTTTTTGTTTTTTTGAGACAGGGTTTCTCTGTATTGTTTTGGAGGCTGTCCTGGAACTCGTTCTGTAGACCAGGCTGGCCTCGAACTCACAGAGATCCACCTGCCTCTGCCTCCCGAGTGCTGGGATTAAAGGCGTGCGCCATCCTATCTCACCACTTGCATCTCCCCACCTAGCATAGGCCACATCATTCTTCCATTAAATTTTCCATTTGTGTGGTCTAATGTGGTGAGCGCTGGTGAGCACTTGAAATATAGCTAGTGATGCAAGAACTAATGTAGTTGGTGATTACTATACCTGAAAGCCCAGCAGTCCAAACTCCTTCACATAGACCTACGCCTGGTATCCCCTTCAGCCTCTAGAGATTTGGTTTCAAGCTTCACCCCTCTCCGTACTCTCTGAGTGCTTTGAGTTTTTAAACCTAAGTTCAAAATGAGATTTGTTGGCTGCAAAGATCGTCCTGGCTCCTGTGAAGCGGATGAATCATAAGGAACAAGACAATGAGCATGCCCACTTTAGTTGTTTGCATGAACTATGCTGTGACACAAATTTATAGTCCAGAGATGAGTGGAGGACAGTGACAGGCCCTGGTGGCTAGCTGGACAATATCTCCCAAGTCACTGGCTTGCTCAGCGGGGGAAGGAAGTTTCTGTTCACTGAAGCAGGCTGGGGAGTAGGAGTCACAAACAAAGGCTTGAAGTGTCTGTGAGATGTGTCATGCAGGCAGACATTTGGGCTTCCAGACCAGGGAGGGAGCTTTATGCAAAGAGTTAAGGGTTATGAATATGCAAAGGGACTTCTAGGACTGGACAGATGGCTCAGTAGTTCAGACACATGTTGTTCTTCCGGAAGATCCAATTTGATTCTCAGAACCCACAGGGTAGCTTACAACCTTCCATAACTCCAGTTCCAGGGAATTCAACCCCCCTCTTCTGACCACCAAGGACACCAGACACGCATGTGGTACACATATATACATCTACAGCAATATTCATACACAGAAGGAAACAAATGAATCTTTAAAGAAAGGAAGTATCTAGCTTGGGAGAGATTCCGGTGCAGGGAGGGAAGAGGCAAGAGCAAAGCTTTGAGGAAACTGACTTTAGCGGAGGAGGAGGGAGGGAGAGAGGGACACCCGCGGCGCAGATCCTAGAAGAAGACACCTTCAGAAGATGCGCTCAGCGAGTACCCTGATGATGAGTCAATACGGGAAGGACTAAAGTGTTGGTGTTTAATCCATGACCAAGAGTTTTATAAGTGGTGCAAAGTAAGCAGAAGCCAGGGTGGGATGGGGAGCATGTGGAGCAAGATGAAGAAACGGAAAGTTCTAGCAAGTCATAGCACACATTTGATCCTAAAAGAAAAGAGGAGTGCATTGAGAGGTGAACACATCAGTGCGGGTGATCCAGTGACAAAGGTGGATGCAGGGACAGAAGGAACAGAGGTGGGGAGGTTGGTCACAAAGGCTACAGACTACATCTCCATAACCAAAAACCTCGAGCCAGAGAGGGTAGCCTCCTCCCTAAGAGAAGCAAAGGAAGAGGGTGTGTGGGTGAAGGTGACACCAAAAAGAGCATTCTCCTGCAGGACTTCTGGGGGCTGAGAGAGAGGGAGCGTGACAGTTTAAATGACTGTACAGAAAATAGTTGGCTGAAAAACAGACTTTAGGAACCAAGTGATATAACCAAGCAAGTAAGAGCAAACTGGGGTTGGTCGGCTAGAGACTGTGTGAGGGCTCAAAGCGCTGGGCCTCCAGTGTTGGGGTGGGGTAGCCATTAGATTAAATAAATCTGCCTGAAAAAGAGGCGCCTACCCTGGATATTAGGGTGTCTAAATAATAGATTGGACATATGTGTTTTGCATAAGGACATGTGAGCCAGGGTTTGAGTGGCGGATGGAGCAGAGGATGCTCCTTAAAGAGGCTGAAGCTGGATCATCCATGACAATGGTGGGCCCTTGAGAGGTCATCCATGAAGAAGATGGACCCCTTGGAGGTGGTGTAAGAATGCATAGGGAGAAAGGCTGGGAGCCAGGGCCTAGGATTGAGAGTGCAGAGATTGAGGTAAAAACCAGAGGAGGAGGTGGAAGTGGTGTAGCCTGGGATTTAAAGAGATGCCCTGCCAGGCAGGAAGCAGCAGCGTGGGTACCCACCCAACTCCCAAGGCTGAAAAGTGCCAGTTTCCCACAGTCCACCTGGGAAGATGCTCCCCTTCATCCCTGTGCCACGGAGGTTTTCTGAGTTATTCGGGAAGTTTATCCCCCAAGTGAAGCCCAGTGCTTCTGGGACAGTGAAATCCCACTTTGCTGTCTATCATGGTAAAACAGTGACCAAAAGCAACTTGGGTGGGAACTCAAGGTAGAGGCTGGAGGCAGGACTGGAGACAGGGACCCTGGAGGCTCTCTGCTTACTGGCTTGCTTGCCATGACTGACTTAGCTTGGTCTTTCATACAACCCAGGACCACCTGCCTAGCACCACCCACAGTGGGCGTGGCCCTCCTACATAATCATTAATCAAGAAAAATGCTAGGGCTGGAGAGACAGCTCATAGGTTAACAGTACTGACAGCCCTTCCAGGGGTCCTGGGTTAGATTCCCAGCAACCACATGGTGGCTTACAACTGTTTGTAACTCTAGTTCCGAGGAATCCAACGCCCACTCCCAGCCTCCCTGGGCACTGGACATACACTTGGTATATATCCTGGCAAAACACTCATACGCTTGAAATAATATAAAGAAACAGGAAAGGCCTCCATGGGCTTGCCTACAGTCAATCTGATGAAGGACTCCATGGGCTTGCCTACAGCCAATCTGATGAAGGCCTCCATGGGCTTGCCTACAGTCAATCTGATGAAAGTATTTTCTCAATTGAGGCTCTTTCTTCCCAGATTCTGACACAAGTTGACAGTTGACAAAGAACTAGCAACACAAATAATAGAGCTTCAGCCTATTGCAATGCTGCTGAATTAACAACAACAACAAAAAAAGCCAAGTCCAGCAGTGGTGGCACACGCCTTTAATCCCAGCATTCCAGAGGCAGAGGCAGGCAGATCTCTGTGAGTTCAAGGCTAGCTTGATCTAGAGAGTATGTTCCAGGACAGCCAAGGCTATTACACAGAGAAACCCTGTCTCAAAAAACAAAACAAAACAAAACAAAAAAGAGTGCCTAAAGGCACAAGAAATACATATAGGTTCAGAGACACACACATAGGAATCTGGTATAAAACCAAAACCAACAAAAAACAAAAACCATAATATATACACAAAGGATCTGTAAGGCTAAAAAAATGCTCTGACTTAACATTATGAGACAACTTTCAAAAATGCTGTTGAATTTGTTTTGTGTTTTCCCCAATGAGACTGTCTTGGAGAAACTGATTTCTGTGTTTCTGTAAGGGTAAGAAACTTAGTAGCTACAGTAAAAATGTGATGGACACTCACATGCTGTAGATTCCCGCCCCTGGAATCTTAGCTGAGGTATTTCAGGCAGCGGTGGCTGCTGTGATGGGACCTGGCCTTCTGCTGAATGAAGCTCCGTGTTCACAACTGAGGCTGCCGTTTACAATGCAGCACAGGCCAACGCTGCCACAAACACCTAGACACAGATACCTGCTTTTTAAATCGAATTAGTTTTTGGTCATCGTGCATTCAGGAAACTTGTAGCATTGTCAAACCCTTTGTGACTCCCACATTCAGTTACAGGACCCCATATGAGCTGCAGTGCAGTCTTAGCTAGGGTTTGTGTGCTGTGATAAAATGCCATGACCACAAGATCCTTTGGGAGGGAAGAATTTATTTCCTCTTACAGCTTGTAGTCTACCATCCAGGAAAGTCAGAGCAGGAACTAGTACAGAGGCCATGGAGGAGTGCTGCTTACTGGCTTGCTCTCAAACTTGCTTAGCCTGCTTTCTTATAGAACACAGGACCACCAGCCCAGGGACAGCACCACCCACAGTGTAATTATTAATCAAGACAATGCCCTACAGACCTGTCCACATGCCGGTCTTATGCAGGCATTTTCTCAGTTAAGACTGCCCTTTCCCAGGTATGTCTCAGTTTGTGTCAGGGTGGCAAAAGCCAACCAGCACACAAACACCATCTAAACTGTGAACTAGATGCCATTGTTACCTCCCTAGTTAGGACAAATGTTTCCTATGACCATCAAATGTCACCCACAGAACGAAGTTACCACCAATTGAGAATAATTGTGGTTGTGTCTAATTTTACTTTTTAACTTGTCAGTTTTGATGGATAGAACTGATAACTGTGCTCCAACTCAGCTCTTGAGAGCCTCATAGCCAACACTGGGTTCAAAAGAAATACTCAGGGATTCCTGGCATCAAACCTAACACTTTACATGTGAGTAGCACATTTTAAGCAAGAACTATGTACATATTCACACCAAAAAAGCTCCTCTTGCCCTTATGAGAACACCACAAAATTCACGAAATTGTGAAGAATTAGCCTGTGCTTTGTCAGTTCAGATTTGTCATGCTGTTCTCTTGGTTTTTTGTTTGTTTGTTTGTTTGTTTGTTTACCTAAGCTGGCACACAGATCAATTCTGTTACAGTAAAGACTTCATATAAAGCATTGGTTCTCAGCCTGTGGGTCACGGCCCCTTTGGCCAACTTCTTCCTCCGAAATATTTACATCGCACTTCATAACATTTGCAAACTTACAGTTATGAAGCAGCAATGAAATAATTTTATGGTTAGAGGTCACCACAAATGTGGACTGTATTAAGGGGTTGCAGCATTAAGAAGGTTAAGAACCACTGATATAAAAGGAGAAGAACAACAAGGCTGAATTTGGGTTATCTTTGATCTCAGGTTTAAAATTCAGTAGAGAGTATCGAGTTCCCGTGAGAACGAACAGTAGTTGGTAGCATAGAGAATTTCTCTTGCGTGGTTCATAATTATTTCATCGCAATGGTGGATTGGTGGCTCAGGGAAATAAATGTTGATTTCAACTGACCAGATTCTGATATAAACACCAATTACACTTGAATTCAGTTTCCTGAATCTCACGACTACCTTCTTTGAATTTCTTCTTTGAATTAGGTTTAAAACCCACTGTGGCCCTGTGTCAGCAAAAGTGTAGACGGATGGGGACTCTGGAGAGCAATTATTGCTCAAGCAACTTTGGTAAGAAACAAAAGCCAGCCTTTCTCTCTAATGAGAAACTTGAGCCTGTGTCTTTAATCTCAAAGGCACTCCCGTGACTTGTTGGGTGGCGGATCCCCAGCGCTTTCACTTACCCATGAAAGCATTGTCCTGTCCACCAGAGTGTGTCCACCTGTGTTCTTTGAACTGTCTGACTTCACAGTGAGAAGAATAAGCTTTAGAAACCATGCCCCTTCCCCCCACTTCAGTCTAATAAGTTGACTCTTGGAACCTGACACTGCTATTCTGTATTCTGGCTGACTTCGCAAAGAAGCCTGCATAGACTTTTTGTCACATGTTTCTTTTTTTTTTTGGTTTTTCGAGACAGGGTTTCTCTGTGGCTTTGGAGGCTGTCCTGGAACTAGCTCTTGTAGACCAGGCTGGCCTCGAACTCACAGAGATCCGCCTGCCTCTGCCTCCCAAGTGCTGTGATTAAAGGCGTGTGCCACCAACGCCCGGCCTCACATGTTTCTTTTTCATACATCAGAAAATGGCATCTCACATCTGGGATTCAGCTTAAGTAAACTAAATAGTTAAGCTCACATTCAAAAATTGGCCTCTCCTAGAAAGAAATACAAGGATCTTTCTCAGCCGTGTCTTTCCAAAGTGCTAAGGTAAAATGTGAAGATCTGCCGTCCATCTGAAGCTCTTGTAAACTGAACCCTGAGGAGGGGTACTCAGGTGCTTGGGTTTCTAAGGAATTTTTCCAATTAGAAACTTGCATCATCATGAAAAGCACTTGAGAACGAAAGATGCCAAATTTATTCTTAGCAGGAAAAGAAAGATGGTTCAGCCAAATAGGTTATCAAAAACAAGCGTTACTGCTCGTTTTCAGTACCCAAAGTAGTAACTCTGCTGCCCAGGGACAGTCTTGTAGAGAAGGCATGGATCTTACTGCAGTTTTCATGCTGAGTTCAAATGACTGCATAGAAATATAAGCAAATACTCCAGGTGCTTCTGCAACCACACCCAGGTCAACCTTCTGTAGGAGACCGGCAAGGAATTGCGTTTCGATGCCTTGGGAACCCCTGATCTCACTTGGCTGACACTTTGTAGTGGATCTGCACTCCCAGGAGTCAAAGGAATGTGTGCTAGGAATTCTGATTTTAGGAGCCTGGTGTATTACAAAGCACTGGGGGTTCACACCATCCTGCGGCATTGTTACCTATGTCTAAAACTAGATTTAGCCTACCGTCTATGACTCACTTAGATGGCACAGTAACCAAACATTATCACCAAGGGACAGTGAGTTCTCAGCCATGGAAGGAAACACTTCCTGGGGACAGTTTTTGGTTATATTTGGGAGTGCTAGGACAAGTACCCAGCTCAGTCTTTGTTTTAAGTTATAGTTCAGTCCTCTAGTTTGATTTTCTATATGAAATAAACAGGCTTGATAAATACTCATAAATAAGTAAGACTCATAACTCTATCCTTTAAGTGACAATCTATCCACATGTTAGAAAGGGTCTCCATTGCTGGGCGTTGGTGGCGCACGCCTTTAATCCCCGCACTCGGGAGGCAGAGGCAGGCGGATCTCTGTGAGTTCGAGGCCAGCCTGGTCTACAAAGTGAGTTCCAGGACAGCTTCCAAAGCCACAGAGAAACCCTGTCTCGAAAAACAAAACAAAACAAAAAAAAAAAAAAAAAAAAAGAAAGAAAGGGTCTCCATCTCAGCCAGAGATGGCAGTTGGGAAAGCAGCTAGATTTCTCTCCCGGGACCCAACACCCAAACATGGCCTTATAGCTCCACAATCCTTTTCTTTCTTTCTTTCTTTCTTTCTTTCTTTCTTTCTTTCTTTCTTTCTTTCTTTCTTTCTTTCTTTCTTTTCTTTTCTTTGGTTTTTACGAGACAGGGGTTTTCTGTATTGTTTTGGAGGTGGCTGTCGGTCCATCCGGCCTCGAACTCACAGATATCTGCCTGCCTCCCGAGTGCTGGGATTATAGGCGTGCGCCACCACGCCCGGCTTCCACAATCCTTTTCTAACCTGAATTTTAGCCATGAATTTTGAGAACTCTTTAACACTAAGTTTTCATTTCTGAAACGTAAGAGAATGAAAATCGTTTTCAGCTCGGTTTGGATTCGCCTTCACCGTCAGTTTTCCTCTACAGTGTTAGCGGGCACAGTCATCACGACGGTCACTCGAGGTGGGAGTTTGCAGGCCACAGTCTCAATCATCAGCATCTACAGGGAGGGCAACCTGGCCATTCAGCAGGCTGGCAAGAACATGAGTGTCAAGCTCACTGTGGTCTGCAGGCAGTGCCCGCTTCTCAGAAGAGGTAAGGACGGAGCAGACCGCTCTCCGAGCAAGGCGTGCCCCTTTCCAGGCAGGGGCTGGTACAGCGAAGTGGAGTCAAGGCTTACATACTGTCCACTGATGGGGAAGTAAGCCTTTAGTCATAAACATGAAGGAAAAAAACAGTTATTTTTTACATTCTCTTTCCTTAGGTCTAAACTACATTATCATGGGACTAGTGGGTGAAGATGGGCGTGGCAAAATCATGCCAAACAGCTTTGTCAAGATGTTCAAGAATAAGAATCAGAAGCCCATGAACGCCCTGAAGAACAAGCAGTGTTAGCCCGAGCTCGGTCCCTTCAGCCGCACTTACTTGTTCACCGCCTCTGGAAGATCTGTTCTCCCCATGTTGAAGAAGCCCATACAATTTAATACTGAGCATTCTGGGAGATGGGGCCAAGTCACTCCTCACGTGATGGATGTGTGAGCCCCTCCTCCCCACCCCATGTTGCTGGTGGAAGTTCCGAGCCTGTGCTGTGAGGAGCAGATATCTGAGAACACGCCCACCCTCTGCCTGCTGGGGGACAGCAGCAAGCACTGGCAGCCTGAAGCTTGTAATATACATCTCTGTAGAAAAATATTCTAGAATTGAGTTGTATGAAGATATAAAAGGGATTTTATACAGTGCAATATTTATAATGATATTTGGTTACCTTCGAGCGTTTGCTCTGAGGTCATGTTTTTCTCTTGCATTTTTTTAAAAATCAATGCTTAGTAAAATATTTTAAGTGTTTACAAGGCAGCCGGTAAACTTGTCCTCACAGGAAGGACGGCTGTGAATCCACTCCTGTTTAACAGCTATTTGCACATAAGGTTCTGATTGTGTCGGTTTAGAGGTCACACTCTAGAAATTCCAGGGATGAGAGTGATGCGATAATGTCAGTGGACCATAATTTCTATCTGGAAAACCAAAAAAACAGTCCCTCTGTCATCTGGTCCAAATTCATTCCCTCACTGTCACTGAAATGGAAGGTGTATGTCTATATATAGGGACTTCCCCAGAGTATACGTCTCATCAGAGACAGGACAATCATCTCCGAGTCCTAATCTAAACCCAGCGTTCACAATGTTGCTAGAAGACGGCCCCCAGTCCCTGTGAGAAAGCTGCCTTCCTACGCGAAGCGTTCAGTACTAAGGACTAATATTTAGGCTTGCATTTGCTAGACTGAGCAATAAGGTAACCTGATCACTCGGCTATGAGCTCCAGGGCCCTTTCCTGGTCCACACCCATTTTATTGAATCCGACTGTAGCGGCTGAGATGAACTGCTCAAGAGACAGCTGTAGCTGCAATGGGTAGACAGTCTGCCTTCTAGGAAGTTGCTGGCCAGAGGCTGTGAAAGAGGGTGCATCATCTCCATCTAAAGATGGCAAAAGGAACACTATGTGTGAACAAAGGCGCGGGGCACAATGTCTCCTATGGTAGGAATAAAATTTTAGAAATAAAAGGAGCTCTTATTTTGGACGAGAAGAGTAACTCCCAGTTCTTGCCCTGACAAACTCTTATGTGGCAGAAAAATATTAATGTAAGTGGAACCACTGTTTTGGTGGCTGATCAGGTCTAAGAGCAGCTAAGAGGAATCAGCTAGAAGGGTCAGAAGTTGTTCTAAACGCTCCTGCCGAGACGTCCATCAGTTCCAGGATCTCACCAGCTGAAGAGGGAGATGACGAGCTAGACGCCCTGCAACAGCTGGGTGTCAGCTTCTCTGGAGCCCTGTCAAGAATGCACGTGAGGGACAGACACAAGGATGGTCACATCCTCTTGTCTCCCAGCATCCCCCTCTCACTGATGATGTGCTCAGCTTGTCGGTGTGGCACCCGCACCACGGCCCCGCTGTCTCTTGTGTTACCAGGGCAAAGATTCTGAGTGGGGTCTGGAGTCACACCGCAGGAAAAACAGAACAGTAATCCAAGCTGTTCGTTCCCTTGACAGCTCTGACACAAAGCAACTGCCAAGGGATTGGTGGCTAATAATTACCACACCAGCTGGTCTTTCAAACGCCATTATTTAAGTCAGAGACAATCAAGCTGAGTGAGTAGTAAGACTATTCTTCCTGGTCCAACAAATGTTCTAACTTCTGTTATACAATGATTTCTTTAGACAGAATTTCGGTTTCCTCGGTTATTAATGGAGGAAGCTGCAGAGGGTACATCTATCCACTGAATCATCTCACCAGGCTATATATAGAGTAAATTTTAAACTTTCCTGCTTAAGGTACCACGAAGCAAATTTTAAAGAACTGTGACATATGGACACCTTTCCCTAGCAACAAAGGATAGAGATCAGTGCCAAAAAACTAAACAAAAATAAGGAAAATAATAATACAATCTTTTGCTGGAAATTAAGAGATATGCTATTAAATAATCTACTAAAAATCATAACATAGAATAAAAATACTAAAACCAACCCTTCAAATATTTTAATTTTGGGGGCCAGAGAGATGGCTCAGTGGTTCAGAGCACTGGCAGCTCTTCCTGAGGTCCTGAGTTCCCAACATCCACACTGCAGCTCACAGCCATCTATAACGGGCCCTAAGGTCCTCCACTGGCATGCAAATGTACACGCAGATAGAGCACCATATACACAAAATAAACGAATCTTTAAAAACTATTTTAAATTTTATAATTTCATAAATGACACAAACTAGGAAGTTAGTAAAATAAAAACAGTCAAGTTTTAAAAGGCAGGAAAGCTGGGCGTGGCGGTACTTGCTTTCCAGCCCAGCACACAGGAGGCAGAGGCAGGCAGATATCTATGAGTTTGAAGCCAGCCTGGTATACAGAGTGAGTTCCAGGCAAAGTAGGACTACATAGTGAGACTCTGCCTCAAAAATCAAACAAGCAAACCAAACGCCGAAAAGGCAGGGAGGATAGGGTGGGGTGGGGCTGGCATTAAAGTAGCTGCCAGGAATTCAAGCCTTTGGATTTGAATCTGCAACCCCAGTACCCACAGGAAAGCCATGTGCCACAGCAATGTAAGCCCAGCACTGGAGATGCAATACTTCTACATAGAGAGGCTGGGAAAACTGAGTCAGGCAGAACCATAGAGCTTGCTGGAAACCAGCTGAATCAGTGAGCTCCAGGTTCAGTTAAGACCCTCAGAGAAGCCGGGCAGTGGTGGCGCATGCCTTTAATCCCAGCACTCCGGAGGCAGAGGAAGGCGGGTGTCTGTGAGTTCGAGGCCAGGCTGGACCGACAGCTTCCAAAACAATACAGAGAAACCCTGTCTCGTAAAACAAAACAAAAACAAAACAAAACAAAAAAGACCGTCAGAGAAACAAGGTGGAGAATAAATGAGGAAGACACTCATCATTGGTCTCTGGCCTCTACACACACACCCTCCACCCCCCCACACACACACACGGGGAAAATACTCCTAGAACAGAAATTGAGTCAGAAAGTAGTTATAAATAACAGATGAAGTTAACAAAGCTAAAAGTCGCTTCTTTAAAACTACTAATAAAGCTCAGAAAACTCTGCCAAGATTAAACATAAAAGCAGTAAGGAGTAGGGGCTGGAGAGATGGTCCAGTGTCTAAAAACACTGACTGCTCTTCCAGAGAACCCAGGTTCAATCCTCAGCCACGGTGGCTCATGGCCATCTGTGTCTCCAGTTCCAAGGAATCTGACACCCTCTTCTGGTCTTTTTGGGCACTGCATGCATATGGTGCATAGACGCAGTAAATCACCCATACATGTAAAATAGAAAAAGACAAATGTTTGTTTTTAAAAAGAGAGCCAGGTAAACCCAGTTTTATGACTAAAGGGGGACCTTTTCTCGGGAATTATAGGATATTATAGATGATTTAGTAGTAATAAGAGTTCTGGGTGCTCACCTGTAAGGTCAGCTCCCATGAAGGCTGAAGCAAAGAACATCACTTCAGCCAAGAAACAGGGGCCACATAGCAAGACGGGACACACTCACTTCCGCTCTTCTCTCTGTGTCTGTGTGCCTGTCTGTGTGTCTCTGTCTCTCCCAAGTGACAATACTAAGATAGCATTATGAGCTCTCTGTGCCTACAGGTTGGAAACTGTGTATGAAATGAGGGGAAAAAGCAGTTCCTGGGAAGAAGGCAGGTGTGCCCAGCAACATAGACTTAAGTAGAAAAAAATCACTACATCTACTGAAGACAACCAGTAAGTATTTAAAATCGTCCTTCAAAGAAACTTCAAACACAATTGTTTTATTTGGAAAGTTTGTCAGGCATCTAAGGAGCAAGGGCTGTCCACCTCACACCAACTGTCCCAGAGTGTGCACAAGGAAAGAGCACAGGGCACTTTCTGTGAGATTAATGGCCTTTATTCTAAAAGTTTAGCAGACAGTAGGCGCCAGGGAAACATCCAGTCTGATTTCTTTAGGAACATAGGTGCAAAAGCTCTAAACAAAACATTACCAAACAAAATCCATCAAACAAATAGATGGCCATCAAGTAGGGCTTAGCCCGGGAATGCATTCAACATGTGAAAACCCAGTGACTAGCCGGGCAGTGGTGGTGCACGCCTTTAATCCCAGCACTCGGGAGGCAGAGGCAGGCGGATCTCTGTGAGTTTGAGGCCAAGCTGGACCGACAGCCTCCAAAACAATACAGAGAAACCCTGTCTCGAAAAACCAAAAAAGAAAAAAGAAAAAAAAAAAAGAAAAAGAAAAGAAAACCCAGTGACTATACTTCGTTGCACTAAGAGTTTTGGTGCAACTAAACACTCAGACTCCTAAGAACTCTACAGGTCTTTCTTTCTTTCTTTCTATCTTTCTTTCTTTCTTCCTTTTTTTTCTTTCTTTCTTTGATAACATTCTTCTCAGATGAAATATATATATCAAGGTATAAAAATATATATATTTCTATAATGCAAGTCTTCATGGCTATCTATCCTTTGTTAGTTTTTCTTTGGTTTTCCTAGATGATGTGTCAGGTACAAGAGACAACAGTCACATTAGAAGGGTATAGACATCTCAGCCAGAAGATATCTTCAGAAAAGCTCCCAGACATCTCACAGATGCCCAAAGCTTTGGCTCCTCACTAGATATTCCCAGTTTGTTAATGGTTCCTCCCAGTCCAGATCAATTTGCCAATCAGAGCCTATGTTTTTTTTAACCATAAGCAAATATTCCTAGCAACAGAGTTAACATACCATATCATCAAATTGCTAGGTAACAAATTAGATGAAACTAGGGGTGTGATTCCACTGGTCAAGTGGTTGCCTAACACAAAGCCTCGGAATTGGTCCCCAGCGTAAGTGGTGTGCTGGTTCACAGCAGTAATCCCAGCTCATGTTCTTAATACGGTGGAAAGTGATCAGTCTGATTCCATTTTTATGTCAAAAAATAAACCTTAAGCAACCTGTGAATAGAAGAAAATGTCATCAGTGTTACAGGGAACCCTTTGGCAAACCTCGTGGTAAATTACTAAGAGCATTTAAGATTCAAATGATTGCATTATACATTTTTGTATAAAATGACCATTTCTATTAAAATTGTACTGGAGGATCCAGACAGTGTAGTGAGGGAGGAAATGAAGTGTATGATGAAAAATCGGAAAGGAAGAATGAGATTAATATAACGCAAAGATGATACGTCATCCAAATAAAAAACTCAGTTGAAGAAATTTGAAGGTAAATAAGAAGAGTTATGCCAGGCGTTGGTGGCGCACACCTTTAATCCCAGCACTCCAGAGGCAGAGGCAGGTGGATCTCTGTGAGTTCGAGACCAAGCCTGGTCTACAGAGTGAGTTCCAGGACAGGCTCCAAAACAATACAGAGAAACCCTGTCTCGAAGAAGAGTTATTTTATCATTAAAGGAGAGTTGGTGAGATGGTTCAGCCAGAAAGGACACCACCAAATGAACCACAAGAGTTTGATTTCTAAAACTCACACAATGGAAAGAGAGAACTGACTACTGCAAATTGGCTTCTAACCTCTGCATGCACACTGTGGCATGTATGCCCATCACACACAAACACACATGTGCAAATGTGTCTAAGATAAGTAATAAAATGTAATTAAAAATAAGGGTTTCACATATAAAAACAGGCTCTAACTTCAGGACAAACTATTGTATGCCCAGTGCATACAGTAGAGTTCAGGATCTCAAGTCAGTTATATAGCAATTAACAAATTAATTCAAATGCTAGCTTTTCATCTACTAAATTAAAAGCTTGCAGAGATTATCAAAGATTTCTTCCAGCTCAACATGAAGAATAGGATTAGAACACATACAGTTTTGTGTCTACTTATATGCGATCCCATATAAATCATGGAATAGTTTCCTCTTGAGGAATCTGTGCCATTCAACACTAACTCCATACTAAAGGTGTAGCAGGCAGAGTCCAGCCCTGGATAGAAACATTGATGAAGCAGGGTCTCTCTTCTCTGTCACTGCAGCTATGCAGCCTGAGCGAGCTTCCAGGGGAAGTCCCCTGTCTTCCTCTTCTCCCATTTTACCATAAGAATGCTGGGATTACAAATGCAT